CACAACTCGACGGCCACGCTCTCCGTCATCAAGGAGTACCTCATCAATAAGCTGCAGAGAGAGAGCCAGCAGATAGAGGACGATGAACGCAAAATCCGCCAGTACCGCGAGGAAACAGCTCACCTCCGCTCTGAGATCCAGGAGCTCAAAACGAGGTGGGTCACATGAAGGAAGGAATGGCATGTTTTGAAAATGTTGCTCTTGGACAACCAGTATAGTGTAGTGCATCTCAAGCTATTAGAACGTCATGAAAAAATTCTTTTCTTTCCTAATTTAATTCAGGTAGACTTTCATGTATTCTATATCCATTATCCTTTCTCATTTTTGTTATTATGGCTTATAGCTCATGAAAATCTGAAATCCAGTATCTCAAATTATTACATTATTTCCTAAAATCAATAAAAAAAATAATAGGATTTACAATACAGAAATGTCCAACTTCTGAAAAGTACGTTCATTTAAACACTCTACACTGTAGTTGTTTGTTCATACCTTCAGTTCATCTGTATTTTTGGGTCACATGTTTCTCATCTTCCTCTTGAAAATACCTGGGTTCTATGTGGTTCTGGTCAGGGGAGGTTGCCGATCAATGAAACACAATAATATCATTGTCAGCAATCCATTTTGTTGGCTCTGGACAGCTTCTACTTGCTTCTCTGTGGTTCAGGAGGGGCTTGATTTTAGGTTTGTGCGCATTATTTTGCACATTATTTACTTATTTTTCTTATTATTCTTGTGTGTATGCTCCTGGATACCTTGAATTTTTATCTGTCTCTCGACCTATCTAACTCTATCTATCTGACAGTAGGAGTCCATTTCCTTAAGATGTGTGTGCTTGCTAGTTCTTAATGCACTGACACCAGCCTCAGTCCACTCCTTGTGAAGTCTTGAATGAACTTTTCTTGACAATCCTCTCAATGCTGCGGTCGTCTCTGTTGCTTGGGCACCTTTTCCTGACACATTTTCTGATTCAGATTCAGATTCAGATTTATTTTATTGTCATTGCAATGAGTACAATGAAAAGTAAGTTGCAGGCCTTTCAGTGCAAAAACAAAATATAAAAACTTTGTAAACAACTATATGCAGTATACAAGATATATATACACCGGTATATATATATCAATGTTCAGCTTTCCATGAATATGCTTTGATATCTCACTCAGCAAATAGCAGACCTTCTGTGGTCTACTTTCCTTGTGGAGGGTGTTAATGATTGTCTTCTGGACAACGTTCAAGTCTGCAGTCTTTCCCATGATTATAGTGTGTGCACTGAACGAGACTGTCCATGTGCTATTTAAACTGTTCATAGTAATTCAGTCAAACTCAAAATGAAATATTCTATTTTTGAGATATGTTCTTAACATTTTTGAGCTGTAGGCTGTAATTATTTTTTTAAAAAATGCTTTTAACTTATTTTCGTCTAGAAATAGATTTTCACTTTCTTGAATAACTAATGAAAAATATAAATTCTTTCACACTATTGTAAGTGTTTGAGATACATGTGTACAGACATGATTCCCAAGTTTTGTTTTCATTGATTGTCATCACCAGTCTTTTTACTGCTGATGTGACCTGCAGAAGTCACAGATTACCCAACATGGCTGCAAGTCTTAACCTTCATATTTCCATGTAGTGCCAAGATATTCCAGAAGACCAAGTGCAACATGTGCAACAGCCCGTTGGAGCTGCCGTCTGTTCACTTCCTGTGCAGCCACTCCTTCCACCAACACTGCTTTGAAAGCTACGCTGAGAGCGAGGCCGAGTGCCCAACTTGCACTCCAGAGAACCGCAAGGTCATGGATATGCTGCGTGCCCAGGACCAGAAGCGAGACCTACATGACCACTTCAACAGACAGGTAACAGTAGGAAGTTGTTTGTTCAGTGCCCTTCCTTACAGGCGTTATGATTTCCTTGGTCTGCTTTGACGTGTTGTGTAGCGTACTTGCCTAAACACCAATGGAATGTTTCATAAATGCAACTTCTTGTATCTCTCTTCTAATTTTCAGTTACGCAGCTCAAACGATGGTTTCTCCGTTGTCGCCGATTACTTTGGCAGAGGAGTGTTTAACAAACTGACTCTGGTGACTGACCCACCTGGCAGCAAAACTATCGGGAGTCTAGACGTCAACCTGCAGAGAGACCTTCTCATCCACACCAAGAGAAACAGTTAGAAACGTCAGCTCGAGATTGTAGTCTGAATTCCTACCTAGCGGGTACTTTATGTCCTGCTCGACATCTGTCCAGGCTCTCGGCCACATGTTTTGTTGCACAGGATGCCACTTTATTTTAGCAGCGAATGCAGCTGCCTGCTTTTAGTGCCTGTGATGGGCCTTTTTGCATATTTGTGTTCCAGTTTCAATCATTAATCACTGGGAACATCATAATTGAAAATGTGTTTGAAGCTTGTAATACCGTGTCTTAAACCTTGCTTAATCACACCTTGAAGCATTGTACATGTTCTCAGTCTTGCACCTAACACTCTCAGAAATAGCGTAACCATCTGCCATTAATGAAATTATGCCTGATGCTCTGACTTGACGATTATAATTGTGAATAAAGTCATTAAGTGTATTTTCTTGATGTAACTTTGTCTCTAGGCTCTGCGGGTTTTGCAGGTTGTGTCATTTGCCAGCAGTGTAGCCCTTTAACAGTCTACATAGCATAATCTACATAATATATAGTGTGTATTTGTGTGCGACTCCATGCAAACCACTTGTTCTGACCCTGTTCTGTCATGTCAAAATCACAGTGATCCATGAACCTGAGTTTCTAAATTGAAACCAGAGAAACCTCCATGCAAGTCTATCATTTCTTCTTCCTGTGATTGTGTAGCCTTATTTCTATGCCTCCATACCAGCCACTGCTGAGGCCATAAGCATTACGGTTTTGTGGTTTTTCTCCATCCATCTGTCCCATTCTCATTAAGCCAATATCTCTGAGAGAAGCATCCAAAGTAGGCGCAAGCACTGGACTGCTGGTAGAGCCTCACATAACATGTTTTCAGATTAGATCAGTTTAAAGTTTAGCATCTAACCTAAAGGAGGAGTAAAAGTGCAGTGCAATGTAAACTGTCCAAGTGGATGAGCTTTAAGATATACAGAGCATGAGCAATGTGAATAGTATAAACAGTTACGTCCCAAGTATGTAAAGTATGTAAATATCCAAGATGTTTAAGTAATGTATATACAGTATGAACATGCTAGGTATTTAAATACAGTAAACTGTAGGTAATATGCCATATGAATGACAAAATAAAGACAGGAATTAATGGCTGTGAACAGTATCAACAGCAGGATTTCAAAATATGGACTAAAACTATGACACAATTTTACACAAATGTATAATAGAATACAATGAGGAAGTTATGACGTTTTATGTCCCAAAGGTCAAGTTTAGACAGATATTGATGCAACCTGTAAATTGATTGGTTGAAGGAGGCAGGAATTCTAATCTGGTGTGTTTTTGCCACTATTGTCTGTCACACATGCTTTTTAGTTAGATCTGAAAAAAACAACAGAATTATTTGCTAGTCCTACCTCTTTTACATTTTAAGGAGAAAACAAAACATATATTACAGCAAGTAAGCTAAAAGAGTTTTTACAACACAAATTGTGCATCTTACAGCTCCAGCAAATTCTAGATGTTTCCAGCACAGTGAACAGTTTTTGCAGTTTTCCAGATGTGAAGGAGAAATATGTTTACATTTAATCTACATGTGCCCAGGGCAGTATATATTTATTATACTCCAAAGACAAATTTTAACATTAAAATTCTTTAACTATATCAATTCATTTGAAGAGGACATGTGGTTCTGTCAGACGTTACCTGGAAATGTCGTCATTCGGTTCACGCCCACTCTCTGGACGTGGACCAATTGGATGCAGCCAGAAGTCGTTTTCAGGCGTCACTCACCGCACGTGGACCAATCACGGGGCAGTGCGTGGACCGAGGTGGGCGGGCTCTGGGGTGGGAGGTCACCGCTGGATGGTGCGTGAAGACAGCTGAGGTTAATTACCGGAGGCAGCGTGTACCTTTCACAATAAGAGCACATAACTTTTCCGGTCGTCGAAACGAACGCGGTCGGTTCAATATTGACCGACCTTGTGAACTGACGTGGAGGTCTTGATGACAGACAGACGGAGGGGAGGTAACGCACTGTTGTGTCCGTGCTTCCGTGACTAGTGTTTGTGTATCTGTTGGGCTGCAATATGGTAACACAGCAGTCCCTTGACCGTGACTATCACAACAGTTTTTGATTTATAAATGCACGACAGAGTTACTAAAAATCACTAATTACGTTTGTTCTTTATCTAGACTTGTGTGTCCTGTGATTAATAGCGGCTACAGTCGGTGGCTTGCCTGCCGGTCTTCTTCTACGATGTGCTTTCCTGTTAAAGGCTAACCGGAAACAGTATGTCTGCTTGCGGCTGACTTGACAACAGGATTTCTCTCAGAAGCGGCGTCAGTGGATCCAATGAGGTGACGCCGCGTTCCGGGCCCGACCGCTGAGAGCAAGCCGGTGATAAGGGGAACTAAAACTACCGAGCGTTACAACAAAGGGGCTCTGAATCAAGGCAACACCGGGAAAACTAACCTCAGAACCCGCCCGGAACCGCTCGGCCCGTTGGTAGCCTCGTGAGACTTTGAGTGGTGCCGCTACTGAAAGGTAAATCCAGCCGGAGCGGTGCCGATCATGCTGATGCTTGTGTCACACTGCTGGCTAACAGTAGCTCTGTTAACTTATGTTGGAGGTGCTATTGTTTTTTCCAGCACAACAGGGCTAGCTTTTTTTTTTTTTTTTTTTTATGAAAAGGTAGACAGATGTTGCCCAGTTGTGTTTAATGCAAACGGTTACCGGTGCCTGATCCTCAACTGTAATTGCTGCATGCGGCTGAGCTGTATAACACACAACCGGTAGTGATTGTCTGAAGCTAAAAGACTAATGCTTCAAACAATTAAATAAAAGTAATGAAGGTTGTGCAACCCGTTTCCACTCGTGCGTCGCTGCTATTGCTGTGGCTTCTGTGTCTCTGTCAGGTTGTTTTTTTTCCCACCCCTGAAACACAACCACTAGATTTTCTGCTCTGTGTTGTTGGAGCTTCCGCCAACCAACACCAGAGCTTGACAATTGTGTTATTGCCACGTGTTTGTGGAATCAGGTGTATTAAGCTCCTTTATATCAGTGAGCAAAGGCCATGACATCACCTGGCAGCGGCTCAGTGATTTTGCTTGAAGACAAATTAACATTAAAACTTGGACATTTGTCAAAAGACTGAGTGTGATGCACCTGTCCCTGTTACAGCTGGAGGAGAAACAGTCCTGTTAAAGCCTTTTCAGCACATTTAGTTCTTCTGAAATGAGCAGAAGAAGAACAAAACTCATCAGGTGGATAGACAAGGTTGAGTTCTGACATACTGGGTAGAGGTTAGGACAGGTGTGGGCCTGTTTAATCCCAATCAACTGAATGTCTTGTTTTCACATAAATGTTTCATTTGTTCATCTCTGCAGCTCATCATGGGGAATAGGAAACTGGCGCTGGTTGCTCTCTGTTGCCTTGTCCTGGCAATGTTGCCTTCTCACACAGGTAAACCGATCCCTCAACACGCACAGGCATATTTTCAGCATGGGTTGTTGTAGCGAGCAGTGTTATTACCCACAAAAGACTGACTGATTGCATAGTTTTACAGACAGATCAGTATTATAGCTGCACTGTACCACAGATAATAATGTTTCCTATCTGCTTTCCTTTGTGTTTGCAGTAAGTGTTGCTGTCATGTCAGTTGACCTGGGAAGCGAGTGGATGAAAATGGCAATCGTGAAACCTGGTGTACCAATGGAGATTGTTCTTAACAAGTGAGTACGAGCTTTTGTCTTTGCATTACAGTGGAGTGAGTGTCCACGGTTACGGGTGGAGTCTGTGATTGTGGAGAAAGGTTGCTGACATTTCCATAGTTTGCATATGTAGATAGTTGGCATGAGCCAGATCTACTGTTCCTCTCTCTGCTACAGCCTCCTTCCCCCTCAATCTTACCTCTCCCTTCCTTTCCATCCATCCTGTGCACGTCCTCTTCACAAAACTGTATTCCAATCATTGACTTTACTTTTAACTGAGGGAAATGCGCTTCACAAAGTTTCCTGCTAAGTTACTGGGCATCAGTAAGTGAAACTACCATCATGTTTGTCAATTCTTTCTGCAGAGAGTCAAGGAGAAAAACACCCGCAGTCGTATGTCTTAAGGAGAACGAGAGACTTTTTGGAGACAACGCGCTAGGAATGGTATGACTTCTATCTAAATGTCTTTCATTTCTTTAACAGTATAATCCCAGTTGCACCATTGTTTCACATTCCACATGCAAATAGCCTCAAATAATGTGCATTTTGTCCTCGTGCTGTTAATGATCACATATTGTGTGCAACATTTCAGTCTGTGAAGAACCCAAAGACTGTCTACAGACACCTCCAAAGCCTCCTGGGTAAAAAGCACGGCAACCTCCAGGTGGAGCTCTACCAGAAGCGTTTCCCTGAGCACCACTTGCAGGCGGACCCAGTGAGGGGCACAGTCTTTTTTAAAAACTCAGAGTGAGTCTCTTTATGTGCCACCTGGTACTTCTTTCACCTTATCAGAAAATTCTCGGAAGAAACGCAGCACTGTTTTAATCAGGAGGATCTAACAGCTTTTTTTTTTTGTCTGCCAGAGAAATGCAGTACACACCTGAGGAGCTCCTGGGGATGGTGCTCAATTATTCATGTGGGCTGGCTCAGGACTTTGCGGGTCAGTTTGCTGGAGGAAGATGCCTCATTGTACGACATGTTCAAAGATATTGTTATTTGTTCCCTCCCTAATTGTCTCTTCAATTCACAGAGCAACCAATTAAAGATGCAGTGATCACCGTCCCAGCCTTTTTCAACCAGGCGGAGCGCAGGGCAGTCCTGCACGCTGCGCAGATGGCAGGTCTAAAGGTCCTCCAGCTCATCAACGACAACACAGCCGTGGCCTTGAACTATGGGGTCTTTAGGAGGAAAGATATCGACAGCACAGCGAAGGTAAACTTTACTCATGAATGCAAATACATCGAATCATCGCACGTCATTGTCAAAAAAAACTTTGAACAAACAAATCATTATTGTGTGTGTGTAATAACAGGCTGGTATGTTTTATTCTTCTGGTGTCATGAAGCTTCATTTATTCAAAATGAACCATTGATGCACTGGCTGGCATGTTCCTTATCACCATGAACACCCACACAGCAGTCTTTTTTTTTTTGACTCAGTCCCACACACACCATTCTGCTGCCTGAAATATTCTGCAGAGCACCAAATGTGGATTATTCCACCACTAACAACAGCCAGACAAAGCAATTCCCTAATGTTTGAGTAACATTTGTTAAAAAAAATCAAGATGTCCAGCTGTTTGAGGATGTTGTTCAAAAAAATCTAACGATATATTAGTGGGATATTTTCAAAGATATATATCTTCATTGAGAATCAGTGGGTGTGGAACTGAGACCAGAGACAGAGTAGAGAGGTCAGAAAGTGTTGAGATGAACTAAGGTACTGTTGGTTTTACGTCTCTCAAGGTCTTGTTGATGCAAAAACAAAGTATGGAGCATCAGCAGCTTTATCCCTAAACGGGATATTTGATATTGTTGAGGTCTTTTATTGCAACTTTATTTGAAGTAATACTCAGACTAATGCATCAGGATGAATGTAGTGATTGAAAAGAAAGCTCAGATTATCAGTGACTACAAACCGCTGAGATCTCGTTCTCTTTCAGAATGTGATGTTTTACGACATGGGCTCAGGCAGCACCACTGCCACGATCGTCACCTATCAGACAGTGAAGACCAAGGAGGCTGGCACCCTCCCCCAGCTCCAGATCCGAGGCGTTGGGTGAGTCCTTCAATCCATTAAGTACACTTTGTAATTTAGAATGTTGCTTCTACCACAGTTAATTCTATCTGACATGATAGATTAGGGGCTGCAAGGTGGAGCAGTGGTTAGCACTGTTGCCTCACAGCAAGAAGGTCGCTGGTTCGCGTCCCATTGAGGACACCCGGGATCTTTCTATGTGGAGTTTGCATGTTCTCCCCGTGCAGCGTGGGTTCTCTCCGGGTTCTCAGGCTTCCTCCCACAAGGTCCAAAAACATGTTGAGGTTAATTGGTGATTCTAAATTGTCCATAGGTGTGAATGTGAGTGTGCTTGGTTGTCTGTCTCTCAGTGTAGCCCTGTGATAGACTGGTGACCTGTCCAGGTCTTGAGTCCACTGGGATAGACTTCAGCCCCCCGGGACCCTAGTGAGGATGGATGATAGATTATATTATGAAATAAAAACTGATTCTTGAATGCTATTGTTTTGAAAAAAGTCAAGATCAGTGTAAGTTATAAAACAGGAATAATTAAAAAAAACACCTTTAGATGTATTAAAACTGTGGCCGTTGTGATAAATATTAATGGAATTATAAAATAATGTTAAATAATAAACCAAGTTATAATATTTAATTTTGAATTGCTTCTTCGTACAGTTTGTGTTTTTAACTTCACATTTTTTAACGTCAGAGCTGTTCAACGTAACAAACGCGGCTGTCGGGGTGCAGATCCTGTGAGGCCACAGATGTGGGAGCTGTCCAGGGTGCTCGTATGACTCCACCTCAATACTCTGTGACTGAGTGCAGGATCTCTCTGGGGGCCAAACAGCCGAGCTGCATAGATACCCGTAGTTTCTGCTTTTCTTTCTTTTCTTCCTCTTCTTCTTTCTTCTGCCATTCATCTGCCTCTTTACCAAGTTTTTATGTCTGTGCCATGACTAACTCGACAAAGCTGTGAGGTTAAAGGTGTGTTAGCGTTACTGTGGTCCTTGGATCAACCTGATCGCTACAGGACATAAATTTCTGTCATAACACGTTTTATTAATTTCTGACCAGTTGTCTCTCAGCAGCAGGTGATAGTTTCCGTTTCTTTCCTGATTGTGGCAGTGACATGCACTTTTGACTTACAAACAACAGATAGTTTTGGGATCTGTAGCTGAGTTATAATGGCTCCAAGTGACTTTTCTGACTTGTTTTCAGATCTTTGCTGAGCTTCTCAGACTTTCCCACTCTAGTGTTTGTGGTTGTCTGTAGTCAGTGTATCAAATGGGCCCGACGTAAATGGGCTCCAAGGAGTGCAGACTCCAGGGGCAGAACAAAGTAGGACCTAATGTAGACCTTTGCGGTAAACCACAAGTCATGGTAGAGTGATCACCCATGCTGATGTAAAATGATCTAAATGATGTCAGAGTGGAGCCATGAATACCAACGCATTGCTAAAGAAGGGAGATCAGTAGGCAGAGATCTAAAATGGGAAAAGACTCCAGCAGAAAATATACAGCCCTCCTCCTGCAGCTCTTTCCTCTCCCGTTTCTGTTCAGTCAAGCCAAAAGTCACTGATGGCTTCCACTGGGCTTCAAACCCACAACCTCCAGAGTGAGAGTCGTCCATCTAGCCCATTGTACCGCTGCATCCTGTTGATCTGATGGGCAAAGAGCCCTGTGATTGGTTAAAATCTCCCGTCAGGCTTCTAACGCCTGAAAACGAAGCCACGACTAGGTGCAGAATTCTAGCTCCTCTCAGACACTTGAATTAAGATGCTGGAAGGTCAGTGTGAAATGTTTGCTTGGTAAGGCCAGAATAATACTGCTCTGCCCAGCTTTAAGGGATTAAAGATGCTGAATGTGGATGCTTGTATGTTCGGAAGTTTCTGTAAATTGAAAAGAGTGTAAGCACTTCCTGCTTTTGATTGTTGATAAGTTTAAAACCCCCAGACCGTAGTTCCCTTCTTCATATAACCTCCTGAGCGTCTACACACACTGAGGTGTTATTCTTATGTTCCTGCTCTAGGTTTGATCGTGGGTTGGGGGGCTTTGAGATGGACCTGCGACTCCGGGACCACCTGGCCAAACTGTTCAATGAACAGAAGAAGAGCAAGAAAGATGTGAGGGAGAACCACCGGGCTATGGCCAAGCTCCTCAAAGAGGCTCAGAGGCTCAAGACTGTTCTCAGTGCAAACGTGGACTTCATGGCCCAGGTGAGTCCACAGACTCCTCAACCCTCACTTTGTCCTTCTAGTTTTGTATCTCACTGTAATGTTGTAAGTCAGAACTAACTGCACCGTTAGAAGACATTTGCAACATCTGGAAAATGAGTTAAAATACACCTTCTTACATTCACAGTGTTAAAATCTGAGAAACGTTGCAAGTTTTCTGAGAAACTCGTGACACAGTCGAGATCAGCTTAGCATTTGCATACAGTTCCACTGCAGTGGGGAAAGGGGTGTGTGAGGTCTCATTGTTTGTTTGTTTTGTTTTGTTCACAGGTGGAAGGTCTGATGGATGACATCGACTTCAAATCGAAGGTGACCAGGTCTGAGTTTGAAGAGCTGTGCGCTGATCTGTTTGAAAGAGTGCCTGGCCCAGTGCAGGATGCCCTGACTGCAGCAGAAATGAAGCTGGTCAGTATTCTCTCTGCACCTCTACATGTCTTATCCAGTGCAGCGCCCCATGCATGAGATGAAACTATCATGATTCCTGTGCTTGGTTGCTGAGGACAGGTGGTGTCGTCCTGTAGTCCTCCACTTATTGAACTTCCTAAAGTTGAAGGCGGGGCTGGAGTCTATCCCAGCTGACTCAGGGTGAAGGCAGGGGACACCCTGGACAGGTCACCAGTCTATCACAGGGCTACACTTAGAGACAGACAACCAAGCACACTCACATTCACACCTACAGACAATTTAGAATCACCAATTAACCTCAACATGTTTTTGGACTGTGGGAGGAAGCCGGAGAACCCAGACAGAACCCACGGTGTTAACCACCAATCCACCTTGCAGTGCTAGTCTCAATATATATATTCTTATTTTTTGCTGCTCAGCTGTTGATTTTAAAACTGCAAACAGTGGATAAAGTCATATTTACAGAAGAGGGTGATACGGTGTTGCAGTGGTTGGCGCTGTCGCCACACAGCCAGAAGGTCCCGGGATCTCTCTGCATGGAGTTTGCATGTTCTCCCTGTGCAGCGTGGGTTCTCTCCAGGTTCTCCGACTTCCTCCCACAATCCAAAAACATGTTGAGGTTAATTGGTGATTCTAAATTGTCCGTAGGTGTGAATGTGAGTGTGCTTGGTTGTCTGTCTCTAAGTGTAGCCCTGTGATAGACTGGTGAACTGTCCAGGGTGTCTCCTGCCTTCACCCTGAGTCAGCTGGGACAGACTCCAGCCCCCCCGCGATGCTAGTGAGGATTAAGCGGTGTATAGATAATGGATGGATATTTTTAGAAGACCTATAATAAATCTATGAAATTGCATGATTGTTTTTTGTGATAAAGGCGCATGTTTGTTTTTCCATCATGGAAAATTCCGAGTTACAGAAGTCATTGGAAACTAAAGACTACCATGATCTCTATACTATTTTCAAGTGTATGTAAACTTTTGCTCACAGCTGTACAGACAATGGTAGCGTTTAGTAAAATGGGAAATGAATTGTAGCTTGTTTGTGGTGAAAATGGGCTTTTTCTTCATCACCTCTTTTGATCAGTGTCATACTTTATTACAAATACATCAATCAGCTGAATGCACCCATTCTCACATTTGATAAGGTTATTTTGGGCAACATCGATTTTGTTCTTAAACAATAAATAGTGAGTTGAAATCGGTGCATGTTTTGGTTGCTGCTGTGAGTCTGAGTTTTTCTATTTCTACCAACAGGATGAAATCGAGCAGGTGATCTTAGTCGGCGGCTCCACACGTGTCCCCAAAGTCCAGGAAGTGCTGCTCAAAGCTGTGGGGAAGTAAGTGTCAACCGCAAAGATATGTCGCTTAGTTTGACTGCTTCCACTTTCAGAATTGTAGACGAATGTGTAAACTGTAACCACGTTGATCCTTAACTTTGCTTCCATGTCGTTTTGTTGCCAGCTTAATGAGATGAAACACTTTAAAGTGCATTTGTAATCCAGTGTCTTTCCTGTGCAGAGAGGAGCTTGGAAAGAACATTAATGCAGATGAAGCAGCGGCCATGGGCGCCGTGTACCAGGCTGCTGCCCTTAGCAAGGCCTTCAAAGTCAAGCCTTTCCTGGTCCGAGATGCAGCTGTCTTCCCCATTCAGGTCAGCACAGGCCACAGACTGTCTCATGCTGCTGGACATGACTTTAGTTAACTTTGAAACTTAATGGTGGAGTTTTCTATAAACCTTTGATGGTAGATGGACTATATTAAACTGTCGTGTCCTAAAGAACAGATTAGAGTTTAGTAATAGAGTGAGAGGATTTTTCACTTGTACATTTATGTGAACAGTTTTTGAGTCCATTGTTTAACACTAGCCACGATGTTGGATTCTGTTAGGTGGAGTTCACCCGGGAGATGGAGGAGGAGGGGGTCAAAACCCTGAAACACAACAAACGAATCCTGTTCCAGAGGATGGCGCCGTATCCCCAGCGCAAGGTCATTACGTTCAATCGTTACAGCGACGACTTCGCGTTCAACATCAACTACGGTGACCTCAGCTTCCTGAGTCAGGAGGACCTCAGGTTGGCCTTCAGTTTATGGAAGCTGTTTGAAATTAGCTTATTTCAACCATGTTTAGTACTCGTCTGAGATAGTAGACGAGTGGGTTTATAGTGAATTTGTATTTGACTGCTCGCTTTTTGTTTTGGCTAAAAATAGTAATGATGGTAATTCTTTAAAAAAATATTTCTGTTTGTTCATTTTCTCAGTTTTCTTTAACAAATGCCATGTCCAGAATGATTCATATTCACTCTCAGTAAAACACAGAGACAAGCTTTTAACTCGTCTCCATTAGGATTTTGGACCATGCGTCATTTTTGGCTTTGCTATAAAAATATGATTAAGAGGTTTATTCAGTGTACGCTGATTGTATTTAAGTGTAACGCTGTCCTGACCCTGCTTCCTCGTGCCCTGCAGTGTATTTGGCTCGCCGAACCTGACCACAGTCAAGCTGTCCGGAGTGGGCAGCAGCTTTCAGAAGCACCTAGATGCCGAGTCGAAAGGAATAAAAGCCCATTTCAACATGGATGAAAGTGGAGTTCTCCTGCTGGATCGGGTCAGTTACACTACTCTTTGATTTAGTTCACTCAGTGAGCTTTCACATAATCTGATCAGTATCAGGCATTCAAAAGAAAGGTCTTATTAAAAAAATCTGGCATGCTTCTCTGACAAAAATGGAAGTCTGTGGCTGGGGTTATTGGATTCAAAGCCAAAAACAACCAAATGGGCTTCTCTTGAAGCCTCTTGACTGACTTGAATAATCACAGAGTAATGTTTTTTTTTGTTTGTATTTTTTTTTTATTGTGGCAGTAAGTCAATTAAAAATGTTATACTTGTAATTTTCATCCACAGGTGGAGTCTGTCTTTGAAACAATTGTGGAAGAGAAAGAAGAGGAATCAACTTTAACTAGTAGGTTTTGCGAACACAAGTACAAAATCAGTGTTAGATAAGTGGCACCAGTACCTTTGTAGAGGCTCAACATCACAAAGTCACCGTATCAACATGAGCAACCTGAATACTGCTTATGTGTGTAAATTGATGTAAAGAAATATGTGGTTAAAGCAGTAAGTTTATCAGTTGAATGACTGTTTAAATGAATTTGTGTAACTCTTACTGTGTCTGTTGTCTGCAGCAGCTTTATGCTGTTTGGAAAGTTGCACAGTGTTGTTACATACAGTTGTCCACTGTGTTTATTAGTCTGAAATCTACCACACAAAAACCACACACACCTCGGCACACATTGGACCGGTCCATTCTGGCTGTTTATAAGAGAGACTCATTGGTTTCGAGAGTTTTTTTTTCTTCTCTCTCTCTCTCTTTTTTTTTTTATACAGGCGGATGGGTTTTCTTGTTTTATTTACAATGTTTTTAAAAGCTGTAAAGCACTTTGCGTTGCTCTAGTGTGTGGAAAGTGCTATACAAATAAAGTTTGATTTGATTTGAATAAACTGAGACAACAATTTGCTGTCTTTCAGAACTGGGTAACACCATTTCCACCTTGTTTGGAGGAGGATCCTCAGAACCTGCCCCAAATGTAACTGAACCTGTCCAGGTAACTGCACCTCTATCAGTACAACCACACATTGTCCCAAATCAGGTGTTAATAAGACTGATCTTTGTATGAATTCTACATTTGATTCGTCTGATAAACTCCTGTACCTACATGCCATATGTGGTTTGTAACAGTTTTACAACTAACTGATGGAACTAAAGTGTTGGCTACACATGCCCGGCCTGAGATTGTTGCTCATTGTTCCTTTATGCGCCATGTCTAGGACGAGGAGGAAATACTTCCCGAGTCTGGAAAGGACAACAAGAGTGAGGATGACAAGGATGCGGCACAGAAGGACGAGGCTGCCAAGGAGACGCAGGATGATTCGGAGAAAAGTGCAGGTGAAGAGAAAAGCCAGGAGAAAACGGAGGAGGCAGGCAGCAAGAACGAGGCCAAGGTAAGCTCTGCCACAGGTAATCTGTCTGAGCACTTAGTTCAAAAGCAAATGTGCAATGGTTCCGAAATGTGTATACCCCTTGTTGGATATGTCTATTTAAGAGAAAGTAGCCACTGCAAACTTGGCACTAAACATAGCCCCATCTCTGCTTGTAAAGGAGGAGAAGGACGAAGAGAAATCTGGAAACACAGAGGGGGAGAAGGAGGCAGAGAAGAAGGCGAAACCTCAGAAAAAGAGCAAGATCTCTGAAGACATCGCAGTGGAACTGGTCATCAGTGACATCCTTGATCCCACTGCTGAAGAGCTCACTTCCTCCAAAAAGAAGTAAAGCACTGTTTTTCTATCTTTCTTTTGCTCTCTCGTTGTTTATTTTCCCGTTTTGTCAGCTAAAACGAGTCTTTGTATCTTTTCAGGCTGCAGGATTTGACAGACAGAGATCTGGCCAAACAGGAAAGAGAAAAAACCCTGAACAGTCTGGAGGCTTTTATCTTTGAGACACAGGTAAGCAACAGGAGCGTTCTGAATTCACTATTAGCCAAATACATCCAAACTCAGGTAGAAGGTTTCTTTCTTTATCAGACAATGAGTATTTTTAAGTAGGAGCTGTTTCGATGTTCACTTCCTCAGAAACTGACGTCTGTGGTGACGCGTCTTTATCAGCTGGTGGTTTCCTGGAGGCGTGACCCGTCTGGCAATCTGTCAGATTTGCCCGACGGGCCACGCCTCCTGCCACCAGGTGGTCTCTGCAGCAGAGCGCCCCATGTGTGGGACAGCATGAATGCCCCCTCACCACGGTTCATGGTATCTTTGGCTCGCCTCCTGATTTCTATGGCCTCCTTGATCCAACGTTTAAATTAGTTGCTCTCCAATGCGATGATCTTTGCGTTGTCCCAGTCCATGATGTGGTTGTTTTTAGATTCACCTAAACCTTATATGTATAATCAGAGTAGACAAAATGAACCTAATCACGACACCCAAACTCAGTCAGCTGGGATAGACTCCAGCCCTCCGTTGCCCTAGTGAGGACTAAGCGGTGTATAGATAATAGATGGATGGATGGACTTTGCATGCTATCAATAGTTGATGAGAGAAAAGTGATAAGACACCATATAACCTCTTCTCCTAAAAACACTGTGCCTGTGTCGTTTCTCCAGGACAAGCTTTACCAGGACGATTACCAGCAGGTGGTGACCGAGGAGGAGAAGGAACAGATCTCAGCCAAGCTTAGGGAGTCGTCTGAGTGGATGGACGAGGACGGGTACGACGCCACCACCAAGCAGCTCAGAGAGAAGCTGTCTGAGCTGAAGAGCCTGTGCAAGAACATGTTTTTCAGGGTAGAAGAGCGACGCAAGTGGCCAGAACGCCTTGCTGCCCTGGACAGCTTGCTCAACACCTCCAGCTTCTTCTTGAGGTGACTGCTCAAGACTTAAGGCATGAGGAGTTTGTGGTGCACCAACAATTTTATGTTGACCAACTTCTTTTTTTTTTTTTTCCAAAGGAGTGCCAAGCTGATCCCAGAGGATGACCAGATCTTTACTGAAGTTGAGCTAAATGTGTTGGAAAAAGTCATCAACGAAACAACGGTAGGTGGTGAAATCAGTCGTGGTTTCTTGGTTCTCAGTACTGCTGTGGAAATTGTCTTTTCCAAGGTTTTGTTATGACTACCTAATAGTCTACAGATTCTGTGTAATTCCAAACATACTGAATTCTACATTTCCCATTATCTGACTCCATGCTGGATGTTTTTAGCTCTGTCTTTCCTGCTACATGATATCCCTGATGACATTACTGACACTTCATCAGGGCTACTTTCTCAGACTTCACCTTCCAAAACCACAAAAGACATTTTCGAGCTGTTTTCAGACACGTTGAAATAATTCTTCTTGATTCAGGTAAAGTGAGCTTCATGTGTGAAATTGCTTCTGTTTGCCTCAGGTGTGGAAGAATGAGACGGTGGCAGACCAAGAGAAACGCTCGCCAAAGGAGCGGCCGGTCCTGCTGTCCAAAGACATCGAGTCCAAGCTGGCTCTGTTGGATCGAGAGGTTAACTATTTGCTCAACAAGGCCAAGTTTGCCAAGCCCAAGGCTAAAGCCAAAGCCAAGAACAGCACAAGCTCTAATAAAAGCAATAAGGCCAACGACACAGCTGAAGAAAAAGTCATCCCTCCGACAGAGGAGAGCACAGACACAAAGAGTGGTGGGTCAAACACATGGGACTGTTCTTCTTCCCTCACTGCTCTGCAATAAGAATTAAATCTGTATTAAAATAACTTCATGTATGTTATTTTTTATTAAAATACAGAAAGCCCAGAAGACGCCCAGCCGGGCGACGCTCCTCCCACCGAGGAGAGCACTCCACATCCGGATTCAGACAGCCAATCACAGCCCACAGAAGAAACGACAACTCCAGGTCGGTCAGCCATACCTGTAGCTGATAATGGTGGAGAACTTTAGGAGATGGGATTTGGAACATCCATCCGTCAGCCACAACATTAAAACCATAATATTGTCTGCGTCCTCCTCGTGCTGCCAGCCCAGCTCTGTGGGAGTGTCCTGTGTGTGTCTACAAATGGGATGTTAGCAGCTCATCCTTTGGGTCCTGTGGTTTGTGGGGTGGGTCCTCTGTTCCTGTGCCACCCACAGATGCTGAGATTGAGATCTTGGGCTCTTTTTTTGAGTTCCTCAAGCTTTTCCTGAGCAGTTTGTGGCCGGATGCTGGGGGGTGCTACTGCTGTCCAGGAATGCTGTTTGCATGGGGAGGGTACGTGGTCTGGAACAATGTTGTTTAGGCGGATGGCACATGTCAGTGTAACAGCCACATGAACGCCAGGGCCCTTGAACGTAATTGATGTTGTTCACTTCACTTGTCTGTGTGTTTAAGGTTGTGGCTCACGGGTGAATAAATCACCTCTGAACTGAATTAGCTTCTCACTGACACACAGTCTCAGCACAAGTGGAACATTATATTACTGCTGGACTGTTTGTTTAGATTGCATTATCTGGTCGCTCATCCTGCTACGGTATAATTTCAGGTTCAGTATGACTCCGTGAGTCCGATGTGCTTTAAAGCTCATAAGCTGAGGGACATACAGTGTTTGTCTGTTTTTACATTTGCTTAGTAGTTCATGCATAATAGTTTGTGTTTTATTACAATAAAACGGTGCTTTACGGTGTTATCTCATTGAAATGAGCATTTGTTGTACATTTTGACAAGTTACTACATCATGTAGCTTTATCTGGTGATGTCTAGTCGAAGACCTGCAGAAAGCTAAAGCACATTTTACTCCCACTGATTTTGCATGGTGGAGCGGTGGTTAGCATTGTGGCCTCGCAGCTAGAAGGTCACCAGTTCGCATCCCGGTGAGGACACCCGGGATCTTTCTGCGTGGAGTTTGCATGTTCTCCCCGTGCAGCGTGGGTTCTCTCCAGGTTCTCCAGCTTCCTCCCACACAGTCCAAAAACATGTTGAGGTTAATTGGTGATTCTAAATTGTCAGTAGGTGTTAATGTGAGTGTGCTTGGTTGTCTGTCTCTAAGTGTAGCCCTGGGATAGACTCCGGTCCCCCCGCGATGCTAGTGAGGATTAAGCAGTGTATAGATAGTAGATGGATGGATGATGTATGTGGTAAATAAACTCAAGTAAATAAATAATTTGGCCTACATTTTGACAGGATTGCTTGTGATGCCTTTAAATGACCACAGCAGTGTTAGTCTCAGCCAGAGCTGGTGAGATGACAGGCCACCTCTGCTGTTGCTCCTCTCTTCCAGCTATGGCCGCGTCAACTGTCACACTGACTCGGTCTCAGCTGACAGGCTTTCCCATAGCAACGGGCTTTTGTGTGCGCCTTATTAAATCAGTAAACATGTGCTTGAGTTACTTAGCACTGTAGCGGTGACATGGTCACTGCAGAGCTTATGCTTTTCTGTACTAACGAACAAAGCTGATGGAATCCCGTACACTCGGTGTTCATTTTTCCTTCTCTTTACTTATTTCCAGGACCAACAGAGGAAGCCCAACATGAAAACCACATAGAAGATGAATTATAACAGCTGGAACTGAAAAAAAAAAAATCACTATATTTATTGACAGTGTATAAATGTTCAAGTTCCCTCTCGCTCTGTGTTTTTTCTCCATTTGTTTTCTTCGATTTATCTTTATTGCCCCTGTTTGTTGAACTGCTGGAAGTTGATTGGATAGGGACTGGAACCGACTCATCTTGCCCCTCGTTTTTCGCCTCCTGCAGTTTCTCTCTTTTCCCTTTCATGGATTCGATAGCAACGGACGAAGAAACAGTTCAGCGGCAGCAAAGCCCCAGACTGCATCTGTGCCACGATGCATGCAGTGTCCAAACAAAACGCTTACGTCCAACATCATGATCTCATCCATGCTGACGCAGAGGAAGATGAAAACAGTGTTTGGCCAGATTGAAATAACTATGGACAGTTGACAACAATGAGCACTGTTCTACTCTGGTTTGTCATGTCCTGGTGTGTTGCTGTGAGGTTAGTATATCTTTAAACTATTTAACGGTGTTGGTCACAGCTGGGTGGATTCTCAATGGATAGAATTCTGGTATTTTATTGTTTTGTTTTTGGATAACAACCTGCGACTTATTTGGCAGCATAAATCATTAGGTATGTTTGTTATAAACATGCCACAAAGTAGAATCAGACATCGTATATTACATACGGCATGTTCAAAAAGTACATGTTGGATGAAAAGTCAGCTGATTTGATGAAAAGCATCACTGATATAGTGAATCACAACATTGCCTACTAATCTTTCCTTATAACTACTGACTTATATCACAGTTACTTTCTGGGATTTCAGAATTCCCAAGTGACTGACGAAATTTCCTGTAATCCAGGTAAACTTGTAGAGTGATGGCAAATGCTGCGCATGACCAGAAACGCTGTACATCACCTGCACATCATCGGACTGCTCGTCATTAAGGCATAATTTCATTTTTGAGTTTGCTTTGCTTGATGAAACTTACTTACTTGTGTTTTTCATTTTCATTTTCTTCATCACGGTTTTAGTTTTTTTTTTCATAAAGGCTGAGTAGAAGATGGTGCCAGAAACAGGTGCATGCTGGGCTCCACCATGTAGCTCCCGAGAGCAAACTATAAAACTGGGCTACCAAATAGCGATGAGCTAACATCTTCTATTCGTCTCTCATCGTTCTGATGTAGCTGAATTCTGAATGAGTTTTTCTACTGATGCCAATAAATACTTTGAGAAGTGAATGTGTTTGACAGCAGCCAAACTCCACGATTTCAAAGTCTCATAAGCTGCTAGAAGAGGTGGTGTATTAGTGTTGTCCGTTATTTTTATTTTTATTTTTTTTTTCCCTCTTGCTGTGTGTTTGCAGCAGTCTGGATTATTTGAATAGGGGTAACTGAAGAAGACACCAAGTCAGGAATGGGAGATGCAAACAATGTTGTATTTCTAAACTGTTAATAAAAAACTTTTTTGTTTTTAATTTCATTGTCATTTTGTTAACATGCTTTTTGGTCTTACTTTGTGGTTGTTGAAGCAGTCAATGCAGGGTCCGGACTTTGAGTCAGCACACCTGTTGAAGAGCCTTTAGACAAGATGCTGACCCGGCCCCGGGCCAACAGAAAGGTAAAGTACCTTATTGTTCAGTAGGCTAAGCTGTAATAACAGCTAATGTGGCGGTACATTCTTATGCACTTTTAAAATTACTCGTATCCTTTATGCCTTAAATGAGGGTCTATGTTTGAATTTGATGTTTAAATTAATAAATCACAAAAGGGATTTCTCAAACTTCCTAAGATTCAGAAAGAAATATAAGGGTTTTGAGTTTGGCTACAAGTTGGGTGGAATATGTTTCTCAGGGGTAACAGGTAAGTGTGAGATTCTTTTGTCAAACTGCTGTGTTGCAGATTGAGCCCACTGCACTGCTACAAGTGAAGGATTATATGTCAAACTTAGGGTTGTGAAAACATTTGACCTAAAAACAAAGAAAAGCTTCACAGAAGTTGGAAGAAAGCCAAGACATAAGCTGCTAAATAGTATTTTACACTGCTTTAGGTCTTTACAAAACACTTATGACATCAAGCTGAAATATGTGATGTCATTGCGTATTTTTGTGCCTAATATTTGAATTGCTTTTAATACAGATACTCAGATATTTGACCTCAGTAAATGATGACACTTTAAAAATACTACATTACAAGTATCCTGTATAAAAATCCTACTCAGCTAAATGTGCTAAAGGAATTACAAGCACTCGCTCTTCAGTAATATGTCCCCCTTGTCACTGATATTTTACTGTACAAGACATGATTAGTTTAAGATCGGTGTGTCGTGTAAACAGCACTTGACTGCTGTAACTGGAGGTGACGCTAGTTTGAGTTTTCACGTCCTATGCCATGTAGTTAGTTCACTTCAGTGATTTACAACCTGAGGATCAGGCTCCTCCAAAAACCTGAGGGGTCATGGAATAATTATTAGTTCTGCTGTACAACTGTCTTTTCAGTTTTTAACCTTTTCTCTTTCTTCCTCTGTCTTTGCTTGTTTGGGAGTTTGAGATTTGAGAGTATTGGCCAGTTTTGCAAATGAAACTTAGCGACAGATTAATACGGGAAAGTTTCTATGTTGGCGTGGCTTGGATGTCTAAAATGTGACAGGCCTTAAGTCAGGGGTCTCAAACTCAATTTACCTGGGGGCTGCTGGAGATAGAGTCTGGGTGAGGCTGGGCCGCATCAAGTATTCCACAAAAAAAGTGTTTCAAGTATTCCAAAAAAAGTACAACTAATCCAATCTTCTCAATCTTTATTAATAACAATTCTGAACATGTACGGTTCTTCAGAACATAGGGTTCTTCAGAACATAGGGTTCTCCTACCTACTCCTTGCTGCCAGAGACCTGGCAGTACTTCCTCTTCCACAGCTGAGCCACATTTGGCTTGAGGGAGGAAGCAATCGAGACCCTCAGTATGGCTTGAAGATGCTCATCAGTAAGTTTGGACCTGCACTTTGACTTATTAAATTTCATGGTGGAGAAGAGCTTTTCACACAGACAGAAAAAAGCAAAAAAACAAACACAAAAACAAAACATGCATTTGCACTGGGTGACAGGACATATTTTCCCTCCACTCGGTGACACTCCCAAATCACGTTTCAAGTGACTAACTCTGCTAATCGCGTTGTTGTCATGAGCCTGAGCAATGGTAGCTCACAACTGATAATAACTATAAAACACCCAGGGCCATGACTCGCGTAGGTGCCTGTGAGAAAAATGCACGGGCCGCACTAACGTTAAACTTTGATGTCTAGTAGGGGCCCACAAAATACCATCCCATGGGCCTCAATTGGCCCGCGGGCCGTGAGTTTGAGACCCCTGCCTTCAGGAGAAAGCTCACATAAAATGAAGGGAATGAACTGGTTTATTCATTGATAATGTGTTGTATTTTGTAAGCCTATATTTACTATACTTTAACAGTATTTATTGTACTTAGGTACTCATGTATGTACGTACTGTGGTCAGCTTGCATCAGAGAATGAGGCCTGACATAATTTCACATCCTATAGTGAACGTCTGCATGTCAGAAAATGAGCAGAAAACAAACAGCCAGCGCTGGGAGGCCAGTGAACACTATAGTTTCAGATTAGGTTTTTTTTCCGCATTTTTATTAAACAATCCAATATAAAAGCACAGTGTTGTAGCTGTATGCATCAGGCTGTAGCATTTACTAAAAGGATAAGAAACATTCTACAAACCATAAATATCAACCATAAATTGCTGTTAAACACCTTTAGTAGACATAGAAATACAAAATCTAGAAATACAAAAATGGAATCCTCAACAAATATAAAAGATTATTTATTTATTCTTTTTTAATTTCCTGTGAGCTACAGTAGCTATCGCCCTGTTTTAAATAAACAGGGCCAAAATTCAATTTCCCAATATCTGAGTATAAAACGAATACAGAACAGTGTGCCATAGAGTCTGTCTGACTTGTAGGTAGAAGATAGAAGACTCTGTGATATGCCCTGCATACTCATGTTCTTCTTCCAGGTTGAAGGACGATACTGAAGTGTAACCAAAATGCTCATTTCATTATTTACCATGTTTATTTCCAGAAACATGACTTGTATTGAATATAAAAGTCAGAAGTTTGAAATCACCTCTGACTTTTGCGCTCACTCATTTATAAGAATTATACAAGTGAATGAATCAAACAGAACAAAGTCTCTTATCAAGCTCTTCTGTCACTCCTGTGGGTACAGCACTTCCTTTTTCGAAGCAGGTTTGGAGTTGTGCTTCTGGTAAACAATGAAAGCCACCAGACTGACGCAGATCGCTCCGACAATGGCGGCTGCAGCAGAAACCGCCACCACAGTGCTGCTCGTATCAGTCTGCTGAATACCTGGGAACGAAAGAGCATTAGACCACACAGAGCAGTGGAGAGTTTCTGTACTGATGAGCATGACAGAACCTGCTCTAGTTAATGTGCAACAAGCCGACTGGTTTCCCCGATCACACACCTTTAAACAAGACGATGGTAATACTGAACAGTTTTATTGGTATGGTTTGGTTGAGAGGCAAGCTTACAGTATCTTTTCTTATTCACTGAACTGTATGTTCTATGTCAGGGGTGGACAATCCTGGTCCTGGAGGGCCACAATTCTGTACGTTTTAGATGTTCCCCTCTTCCAACACACCTGATTCAAATGATCAGGATCGTTATCAGGCTTCTGCAGAGCTTGATGATGAGCTGATCATTTGAATCAGGTGTGTTGGAAGAAGGAAACATCTAAAACGTACAGGATTGTGGCCCTCGAGGACCAGGGTTGCCCACCCCTGTTCTATGTTATTTAGCCATGAAAGGAATCTATCCAGGACAAATCCTGATCAGATGCCTCACGTGGGCTCTTTCCAAGGACATTTGGTTTGCTTCATGCCAGATAGATGCATTAAGAAAACCTGGTGTCTGGACACATTTGAAGATACTTTTTTTTTTTTTTGTTAGAAAAAGTTTTTTCAGGTATGTGGAAGTGAGAAAGAACTTCAGCTCTTTTTTCTGTCTTCATACACCAGCATCATCTATCCCTGTGTAACCCCCAATAACAGTTTTATTTTGCCTCTTGGAGGAAGTGGAAACAACAACTGATAGATCACCTTCTAAGTTTATGTGATTACAAGCTGCAAAAAGGGCTCCACTTCCTTTTCTCTAGGTGAGGACTGAGTCTCACATTCACTACTCCCACATCTTCTACTTAGCATGAACCTCAATGTGCAGATCTTTATAATCAGAGAAACCAAGTGACACTGTTGTTCAGTGCTTTTGTCATTTGTTTAGCGTAATAAAAACACAAAGTGCTGGCAGTGTATGCATACCTCCAGGTGCCACCAGATGCCCTGTGAGAGAAAAGGACAAATCCTCAGTTCATTCATGACCAAAGGAACCCTCCATTCAACTCGTGCAGACATACATGACAGCAAGGACCATTCACATGCTCACCTTTGTCTAGGCGGATGGTGATGCGGCTCGAGCTGACGGTTGCCATGTCGCTCACAGTGGTGTCCTGGCTGTCGGCGACACTGCGGCGCTTTCTGGAACTGGTGTTAGTGGAACAGTTCTGCAGGTGATTGTCATTTTGGTTAAGACAGCTTTTCGAAAGAAGTAAATTAGGCAGAGAATTATTTGAGAATGCCATGACAGCTTTCCATGAAAATACAAAACATGTTGAAACTCTAGAAAGTCTAGATCCACAGCATGATTTAATTTGTGCAGCCTCGAAAGGTCTATTTTGGATTTATCTACAATTCTACTATTTCATTTAGCAGACGCTTTTATCCAAAGCGACGTACATCTGAGAGCAGATCCAACACCAGCAAGGATCTAGTCAGGAGAAAACAACCTGCAAGTGCCATAGAACAAGTTCAAGTGTGATAGGGCCAACAGCAGGCTGTAGGGAGGTAATAGGATTTTATTTGTTTTTTATTTGTTTGTTTTCAGTCTGTCAAGTGCAAAGGTGTTCAGTGAAGAGCTGGTCTTCAGTCTGCTGATTCCCTCTCAGGCTTTAAGAAAAGACTGAACAGAGGTTGGTAACTCGTTCCACCACCGCGGAACCACAGAGGAGAAGAGTCTCGCAATCGACCTCTGCCTGTTGCGGTGGTTGTATCAGGAGGTTTTTGTTGGTCGAGCGTAGTGAGCGGGAGGGAGTGTAGGCCTGAATGACAGAGTTCAGGTAGGAGGGAGCTGTTCTCGTTGTGGTTTTGTAAGCAAGTATCAGAGTTTTGAATTTGATGCGGGCAGCAACTGGAAGCCAGTGAAGCGATCTGAACAGCGGGGTGACATGTGCTGTTTTTGGCTGGTTGAAACCCAGACGTGCTGCATTCTGGATCATCTGCAGAGGTTTGCAGGGAGGCCTGTCAGTAAGGAGCTGCAGTAGTCAATGCGTGATATTATGAGATCTTGTACCAGGAGTTGTGCTGCATGTTCAGACAGGAAAGGTCTGATCTTCCTGATGTTGTACAGGACGAATCGAGACAACCAAGCAGTAGAGGCCACATGAGGCTTGAAGGTTAGTTGGTCATCAATCATGACACCCAAGTTTCTGGCAGATTTTGTGGGTTTGAGTTGGGTTGAATCAAGCTGGATGTTGATGTCTTGTTGTAGAGAGGGACTGGATTAATCTGCATTTCACAATTTACATTCAGTGCAAATTGTCTTTGTGGTTGGATCATAATACACAATAATATAATAGTACTTCAGAATTTTAAAATCCAGTCAGATGTGGTGTTCGCAGAGTTTGCACTGAGATATGAAACAAGGTCCACTCTTATGGCCTGCTCCCTGATAATCACAATCATCCGAATACTTAGTTACGCATGTACAGAAAGCAGCCCTCTGAACAGACTTCAAGTGGACTAGAAAGTGATGTAATAACAACTACACGTCTGTGGTGTCCACAGCTGTCTGTGTGCTCATTCACAAGGGAGTATAATCAATTGTTATATTTCTTGTATGGACAAAGGTGGCTCGTGTGATTTTCGAGCCTGGAGGCAGATTCTGACCTGAATGAGGGTGGGGCAGAAGGTGCTCACACAGAGCCTGGTGGCACAGTGTACGTAGTAGGTGGACATAGTTTCATCTGCGCTGTGGACAAAGCGGAAAGCCTCAAAGGAGAAACGAGCTTCCTGCTGCTCTCCGTTGACTCCCATGACTGTCTGGCCATCCCGGTTACACCTTAAAGAGAACAGATGCAGATATGAATGATGAAAGAAGACTGACTTTCTGGCCCACAACCAGAAGGCACAGGTCTGGTTCCCAGGTGTCCAGTGAAGACTAATAACACCATCTTCCTATCATTGGTTTTTACTGGTAAAGTTTGCATGTAGCAAAAACATTTGATGAGCTCAGATGTCCTGAACAGGGTATTCATCGCTATGCATAACTCACCCAACAAAAAGATCGTAAAAGGTGGTGTTGATTGGGAAAAGTGAAGTTGTGGCGTAGCATCGATCCAGAAGCACATTGAATCTGCAAGAAAGAGTTCAGGTATCAGCCCAGATCATAAAAGCTGATAATATTTTAATGTTTGATCAAATCTAAATGTGGATATTGGCAGCACCAATACATGGTTCAGAGTCTAGAGGATTGTAAAGTTGGCATGTTTTTTAAATAAACAAGTACAGCTTGCTTAACTTAAAACAACCTGTGTGAAATACCTGTTAGTGAGGTTGGATGCTTTCACTTCTACAAAGATCCTGGTCTTTAACTCAAGTCCTCCTTGAGGGATATTCAGGAAGGAAGAGTAGCTGTTGTCCTTCAGGCCCAATAACAGAAAATAAGGAAAGATGTTTAAAATAATAAGTGACACAGTGCTTTCAGATCCAGTATCAACTAAAATTTGCCTCCACATCAGCAGAGAGATAGCGTTTTAAAATGGCATTTTCACATCAGAGGCTAAGAAGAGATAAAAAGATAAAAGATTGGAAGGAAAGTTTGCAGGGATAGTTTGACCTGTTGGGAACATAAGTCTTTTTGCTTTCTCACCAAGAGTTAAACTGACTCCAAAGACTGATTGAAGTCACTGTGCCAGGTCAAGAAACAGTCTGGTGTATAACTTATGGTGAAATAGCAAATCGTTTTTATGCTTCAAACCCGTGCAGGGATTTATTCAATTCAGTTCAATTCTGTTTTGCTCATATTTCACCGATTCACAGCATAAGTCGTCTCAAGGCATTTACACGGTAAGGTGAAATTATATAATAGAGAGAAACAACTAATTCCAAAGATAAATGAATGAGATATGGCAGAGCTTTACAAAAGCTGGTACGTGGATTTTATTACATTTGGACAGAACCAGGCTGGCTGTTACCGCCGCTTCTATTCTTTATGCTAAGCTAAGCTAACTGTCGCCAGACTGCTTTTCCACATTAAGCATGACAACATGAGAGTCTTGTCCATCTTCATCCCTCACTTTTGGCAAGAAAGCAAATACGCCTATTTATTTGGAAAAAAAAAAAGTCTAGCCAGTACTTTCAAAATGCAAAATGCACTCTGGGAAAATTTCACTAAAGACACACTTTTGACAGGAACTATTAACTAAGGATTTCGGGCAAATTTAGCCTTTATCTCATCAAACATTTGACTCAGTAGGAAAAGCACAGGCACATGACAACAACATCGCTGCTTTTCATTAATAACACCGTCACTAGTAACATTAATGATGGCTCTGTTTCATCCGTTTCATCAGGTGTCCCAATAAAACATGACAGTGTGCCAGCAAATACAGCACAAAGAGCCTAAAAAGGAAGAAACTGAATGGAGCTGAATTCATGTGATATGTCAGAATGTCTTTCATGAAAAAGGTCACATGTCTGTGTTTTGGGATCTGTGGTAGCAGAAGGAGTGGCTTTTTACTGTATAACAATAGCCACCACAGTGGTTAAGTTATGGCTTAACTTGGAACAGTGACCCCGTCTTACTAGCTATGATTTATATATATATCTTTTTATCATTTCTATTTTAACTGCAATACTAGTTTTTTGTTTTGTTTTTACGGCAGATCCACACATCACACACAATTGTAAAACCCCTCGTTTCTGTTTTTACAGTGTCTTGCTTTCACACATGGTGTCATTTTTGTGTTTTCTTGAAAAGACACAACATCTTTCAAACCATTTAGAATTCACAGGGTTAAGTTTAATACACCTGCAAATAAAAAAAAAAAGATTCAAATGTAAAAGTGTTTGAATTTGAAGGTATGACATAATTGGGGGCTTGGATTTGATGAGCGCCGTATGATGGCTACAGAAGCAGAGGCTGCAGATCATGTGTCTGTTGGCTGATTGGCACCCGGTATTTGCTTCTAGTTTATAGCTTCTAATAGCATTCAATCATAATCAGTCATTTACCTCTGATGGTCATATGCTGCTGCAGCTGCCCTGACACTGAATGCACTTTTCATTTGGACAATTATTAGCATTATTTCTTATAATTTAGAAGTAATAATGGTGAGCTGCATGTTCACTTATGTAATGGTCAACCACAAGTCAGTCAGCCTTCAGTTGAGATGCCATTACAGAAGCTGAGTCAGATTGAGACAGCAGCCTATTTATTGGATTTCCGCCTCACTCTCAGCTATGTATCTGCTACTGTGCTGCTTCTATTTATTGGTATAGA